CAAGCCAGCCGGGACAAATGAAAAGAAGTGGGAGACAAATAAAAGGAAATGGGAGACAAACGCAAGGAAGTGGGAGACAAGCCAGCCGGGAACCGGACATGCGGGAACCCGACGCAGCCTGGGATGAAAAGAACTGGGAGACAAGTGAAAAGAAGTGGGAGACAAATGAAAGGAAATGGGAGACAAGCCAGCCGGGAACCCGACCACAAGCACCCAGCCTGGGAGACAAAAGACAATGAAAAGAACTGGGAGACAAATGAAAAGAAGTGGGGGGACAAATGAATGGAAGTGGGAGACACATGAAAAGAAGTGGGAAACAAATGAAAGTGGGAGACAAGCCAGCCGGGAACCTGACCACAAGCACCCAGCCTGGGAGACGAATGAAAAGAACTGGGAGACAAATGAAAGGAAGTGGGAGACAAGCCGGCCGGGAACCCGACCAGACCATCCAGCACCAAGGCGACCATTCTTTAAAGCATTGAGAACCCCTAACAGTAAACTGTTTGGGGAAAAAGCACTATTTTGATTGCCATGCATGTTCTCATGGCTTGGATGTGTCATGACTCTGCAAGTCCAGAGATGCTGCAGCTCTTGGATGTCTTCAGCCGCAAGGTGAGCTGGGGACCAAAACAACTTGGTTTGGCTCAGACAGCGAAGCAAACACAATGTTCCTTGTGGCTTCCTCCTTTCAATCACTTGGTCTCTAAGACTTCAGGAATGGAGGAATGGGTTCATGATGGTTCATGTTTGTGCATGCACCATTGGAACGTCGTGTAGCGGCTAGTGCTTAATGGCATCCGTTTTTTGTACACGAGACAGTCATTTCTTGACAGCGCATTTATGGTTCATTTTTGGAATTAGGCATCCAGAATCTAGGCCATCGCTCTTAGGTTGGAGGCCATCGCTAGTATGGAGGCCATCGTTTCTAGAGCGGCCTTTAAAAAGCCTTGAGCTACGCCCCGCGCAGAAGCAAACGCACCAATCCTGCACCTTGGTCGCATTGTATGCACCGTGAGGCCCAGGAGCAGCAACAAATCATCGAGCAGCAAGCGCAGTGCCTCGGCGAGTTTTCAGACCGTTCTCAAGTTCAGAAAAAGAACGATGGCCTCCAACCTACCAGCGTCCTTGCTCCTAGTAGCGATGCCCCTTGTTCCTAGTAGCGTCCTTGCTCCTAGTAGCGATGCCAGGAGCTACTAGTAGCGCCCTTGCTCCTACTAGCAATGGCCTCCAAAGAGCGATGGAGAGAGAATGAAAGGGATAGAATTGACTGTTTCGACCAGAAAAGCTTGAACTCCGAACTTGCGTGTACGTGAACTTGAGAACGGGATCAAGAAAGGTCTATAGCACTCTAGCGGCCTACCCCCGGGCTAACAAAGTTAGGAGGAATCTTCGGTAAACTGCTTGTGTTCGAGTAAACTACTAGTAAGGCACTTGTAAACTACTAGCGTGGCACTTGTTACTACTAGCGTGGCACTTGTTACTACTAGTAAGGCACTTGTTACTACTAGAGTGTTCGAGTACTTCGTAGCAGGGGCTAATGATGGCTGGTTCTTTGGCCAGGATCCTGGATTTCTTGGAGCGTGAGATGGCATCTTTCAAGGCAAGAAGTTGTTGACGTTCTCCACCATCATGAGGTTTTCAATCTGACTTCGATCGGCCATCTCGGACACCTCCTTTCTTTGAGACTTGGATCCTGCTTGGAACATCGCCTACTTGTGTCTTATTCGGACCTCTCTAGCAGCCTTCCTTACGTAGTCAACTCCTTACAAACAAAAAGGCTACCTACAAAACAAACATGCCCTTTTGGTTCTCATTTGGTTCAGCTGCAAGGTGCAAGTTCTACGCTTAAAGCGCAGACGTGTTCAGACAAGCCGAGAAGATCGTGCTCGTCAGCGGCTATTGGCCTGCCACGTCGGAAGAAGAAAAATCCAAGGCGCCGTGAAACGTGAAACGGCGCAAAAAGGACTTCCTTTTTTAAAAGAGGGGTAGGCCGCTAGAGGTGAGGTAGAGGTAGCTAGGAAGCTACTACAGACAGGACACAGGATAGATTGCGCCGCTTCAAGGCAGCTCCCCCACCGCCTTTAGGGCGTCGGGGGAAGCTTCCTTGAAGAAGCGCGCACACTAATGATTTGGTTTCTAGTAGCTTCTTGTTCCTAATGATTTGGTTCCTAGATTTTTAGGGAAACTTGAAGTGCAGATAGTACATCCGTCATGAGAAGTCATTCGAAGAAGAGGCAATAACAGACGAAAAAGTCTAAAGAAAAGGAAGTGGAAGAAAACAATCAGTGACAATGAAGGAACCATAAGTAGCAGGTTTGTAAGACTGGACAAGGAGTAGTATGGGGTAGGGTGTTCTTCTGATCTTTTCTTTCCACGTAAAGAGATCAACGCATGATACCTGAAGCTTGATGTCTCAAATGCCTCAACCTGCATGGGTTACCAAAAAGGACGACTATGTCACGACTTATTTGCGGTGAAGCTCTCAAGCTAGCAGCGATGCCCTTTGCTCCTAGTAGCGTCCTTGTTCCTCGTAGTAAGGCCAGGAGCCCCTAGTAGCGTCCTTGCTCCTAGTAGCGATGCCAGGAGCCCCTAGTAGCTTCAAGCAATTGTTAAGAAAGAAAAGCATGTTCCAAAGTTGCCACTGGTTGCCACCGTGCCAGATTTGCTGAGAGTAGCAGACTTTGCCGCCTGATGCTTTGAGCGCTTGGTGAGGATGGCCTAGGCCAGCACCTTAATCAGTTTTACAGCAGAATGTCTTCTACACATTTTGACCTTTTGGAACACGTTTATTTAGATATATGTTTTGAATTGTTTTGACATGCTTCTATTTTGCACATCTGTAGATGTGGTCTTAGGAGTGTTCTCTTGGTCCATTTTCCTTGGTGCAAGGCACTCGACCGAGAAGAAACAGCAGACGGACCTTGACATAAGCTTTTGTGGGACTAGCATGTACATGTTTGAATCTATTCATATGAAGCTCTTATGAAACTTATATTCAGATGTGCAAGATTCTAGGCTTAGACATGATATGTGTTTGATCTTCTCTCTAGGCTGTGACTCTTGCAGGAGCCCGCGACCCACTCAAAGATCTGTAAGACTTTGTGTTTTGATTCTAAGAAGACACGGTGATTGTTTCTATGCCTTTCTCCCTGGAAAGCGTACTGTTCCACGTTTCCCCTGCCTGACTCCGACGAAGCACTTGCAACTGTGTTCCAGCTGTTGAACGGTACCTCCTTTGGTTGTAGCATGTTCCTTTGCAACAACACATTCGCAAGCCAGGAGGGGATTCCTGTTGGGCTTGAATGCTTTGCCATAGAATCCCGCTGGCCCGCTGGAGGTCGGATTCTCCAATAAGGCGGAGTTCAATGCCACGATTAACTTGATGATCCATCGCCACTGCAACTGGAGAAACGCAGGAAACCCAGCTCTACACGAAACGCGCAACCATGTCCAAACAGAAGCTTGCTGTCCAAACAAGTTCAACGAGGTATAGTCCTTGCGGACATTTGGTTCCCAGCGTCGGAGGAAGACAGTCCATACCGAGTATAAGAATATCGCGGTCAGCAGTGGATTGGTCAATGAACGTGAACGAGCTGCAAACTACTACAGACAAGAAGATTCAACAACCTTCCAAGACATAAACGTAGAAACAAAGCAAGGATGAGCCTCGGTTCTGGTCTCCAGACCCTATTTAAATGAGGTTTCCCACCATATCCAACATCAATGGTGAGATTGTCATGGCTTTGGAGGCAAGGCCAAGCCCTCAAAGGAAAGAATGCTAGCTTGCAAGTTTGCTGTTTAGCGTGAGCGGCAAACAATCCATGGACCACAACGGATGGTTCAAACGTGAAGAGACAGCTAGTCAGCTATATACTTGATGAGTGAGTTCAGAGCACTTTGGGCACCACGACCCCAAAAGAATGTACGTCACGCTGTACATCCAACAGTTCTAGCCAAGAGTTGTTTTCATGAAACCAATTCAGAGCTGACCAATTTTTCTACTGAGCAAGGACGCTACTAGGGGCTCCTGGCATTGCTACTAGGAGCAAGGACGCTACTAGGGGCTCCTGGCATCGCTACTAGGAACAAGGACGCTACGTGCAACCTCACCTCCTTGTCACCTTTGCGTCACACTCTGCGCCTTATTCAAGATCTCTGCAGGGATTGCCGAGCCTCGTCATCGGCGGCGGCCTTGGTCGGATTGATGCTTGGGTCCGCGTAAAGAGCGCCAGATAAGTGACTCACGGGTTCGGGTTCATGGTGCACATGCTTCGTAAAGTGATTTGGTGTCCAGGAAAGTGCTTAAAAATAAATTAATAGCTTCTTGTTACTACTAGTAAGGCACCTGTTACTACTAGCGTGGCACTTGTTCCTAGTAGCTTCAGGTTTCTCGTGTTCTGTCCTAGTTCCGATGATGTGGGGGTTGTCTTCGTGCGCTCCACGTCATGGACTTTTTTTGGCAAGATCGTGACAGGATTTGAGTGCCGTTTGTTGGTCTTTCCAACGGTAACGAACAAAAAGCAGAAAACCAAGCAAACAAAAGAACAGTGTCTCTTTCTCTTCGTCTCTCTTCACGGTTCGTCGTCACAGGTTCGAAGGGTGCAGTCGTTTCCCTCACAAACCGGGTTCGAGCGAAGAGCGAGGAGGCCGACCAGGCGCTTTGTGGCAAAAGACACGTCGACATCGTGTTATTCCTTACACTCTGCACACTCTGTCGACAAGCACAAGACAGAACATGTTTGAAGGGCCGAACGCAGTGAAGATTGTTCCTAGTAGCTTCTTGTTTCTAATGCTTCTTGTTCCTACTAGTAAGGCACTTGTTACTGGAAGCGATGAAATTTGGCTCAAAATAGGGTGCCAAAGGTGTACCCACACATTTGATCGCTTTTTCATCGAAGTGGAAACGGGTGCCGACATTGGGATCACCAACAGAGTCGCATCAACTTTCTGCGGTGAAGCTCGTGAACCCCAGCGAAACGCTGTGCCCATTGTACCGTGCGATGACACAGCTTTGTTTGCGTGGGCTGATGGTGGTCATGACCCTCACTGCAGGACTACTAACAGCCATCAATGTTGGACAATTCCTCCCGAGCAGATACCTTCCTGTGTTGGGACTTGCAGACTTGAACTCGCCGGAAGTGAAGCCAGTGAAGATGGAAGTTCGGAATAAGATTCTTTGCCATTCTTTGGTGGACCCTGCCCTTCCGCTGCAGTCCTTCCTCCGCACGGTCGACGTCCCTCCTGGACATGTGTCCGAAGCCCAGCGCCTGGTTGCCAAGGGCACCTGGCGGGATGCGGGGCACTGGCCAAAGAACTTGGCCATTTACGACTTCTACCAGTGGATAGCCAAGTACAAGATCCAATCCCCCAAGCGACTGGTGGCTTTCAGCGATGATCCGGAGAACTCCTTGTTGACCCCAGAGGCGACTCTAAACTTCTTCTACACGCCGGAGACAGGGGAGAATGACCTCCACTCCATGGAGGCCAAAAAGGAATAGAATAAGGGAATAGACAGGTATATAAAGAAAGGTTAAAACGAAAGCCTACTAGCGATGGCCTCCAACCTACTAAGGTTAAACAAGCATAAAGAAGACAAATTGATATATTGTTACCATTGTTACATGCTTATGGTGTTTTTCTTTTCACCTCCGCTCCATGGAGGCCCTGAAGAGTGTCAGGGACTTTAAGCCAACGATGGTGTTGCTTGGGAACATCAGCTGCAAATTTGCCTGACCTGCTGATCTGATATTTTTTGGGGAGGGGGGTGAGAGAGCTCTAAATCTTTTGTTTGCCATTTTGACCTCAGCGGAGGAACCTTTTTCCACGCTTGCATGATCCACAGCTTGCAATGTCCAACTTGTTCGACGTCTTGGAAGATGGAGGATATGCATTCTTGTCTGCGCCGTTGACCGGAGTCTCGGACAAATTGCCCTTTCACTTTTACCACAGCACGTGGACTGGCTTGGCCACTTTGATGAATCGATCTGGTTTTGAAGTCTTGGAGATGCGGCGCTGGGGAAATTTGGACTATGAAGTTGAGATTTCCAAATTGAACTCCGAGCCAAAGAGCGATGACTTGACCAACTTGCAACACCAAAGGTTTCACGAGGATTTCGCGTGGGGTCTTTTTCGGAAATCGGCCGCCAAGTACAATCAGACCTGCTTCGGTACTTCCACTCGCTGGCTTCAGCACTGGGCCTACACAGCAAGCGAAACCATGAATCTTTGGAATGTGATTGAGCCCAGCATGCGAGGTCGTCCGACAATGACTGATGATGCCTTCAAAAATGTCATCCTGGCTGCGGGAATATTGCGTAATAGCAGTGATTTCCCGCGAGCTCCGGCGATTTTGCATTACAAGCAAATTCTGAGAAACTTGCTCAGATTTAGATTGTAAAGAATTGAAGGGTCACTCAGCTTGCGGGGTTTTGGATTCTCCTTTTGAGCCAAACAAGGAACGTATTCGAATGAAATCAAGGCGATTCCCCAACTGCTGTCATTTGGTGGTGCAGAATATGAATTGCACCTGGGTCCTCATCAGCGTCGCGTCGTTGACTTTGGTCCTTACCGTGGAACTTCTGGGGATTTGCACAAGCTCAGCTTGGAGGATCTCACTTCAAAGCTGGCACCGGGCACCGCTGGCGTGGATTTCTGCATTTTGGGTCAGACTCTGGAGCACCTCTATGATCCGTACCTGGCAGTCCAAAACCTCTTCGATGTTACCGCGCCCTGCGGCTTTCTTTTCACCAGCACTCCTTTTGCGAACATTCCGCATATGATGCCACATCACCACTACCATTACAGCAGCATGGGCCTGGCCATGCTTTTCCATCGGGCTGGATTCGAGGTAGTGGAGATTGGGCAGTGGGGCAGTCAGGAATACCTCTCCAAGCTGTTCCAAACGACGCTCGCCGCAGATGAACGGCTGAAAAACCTGTTTTGTGAGTGTTGTCAGTTTGCTTTTTACGACTGCCACGCATGTGACTGTAAGGGGTAACATCAGTGAAAGTTTTCTTCGATGCGGCGTGCATTGAAAGGATGCGGTGGCCAGGAAGGGGAACGCTGCAGAATTTGGAAGGTGATGCCTCAGTAGTGGCACAGGTTTGGGGGTTCTTCCGCAAGCCCTGCAAGAATTGATGCAGTGTACAAACGCCTTTCAAAGACAAAGGCGGAAAGAGCGGTGGTAAAATGGCGATATTTGGCGCTACACTGCATCACCCTTGGTGTGCTGGAAGGAAAGCTAGATGAGGCCGTGCACAAAGAAGGGTAAAAGGCCTTTAATTGAACTGCCTTCCGTGTTAAACATGTCATCAAGGTCTGGTAAAATCCTGCCACCTGTGAGGAGCAACCCGAGTAAATCCTGGCTGTGAATAGACATGTCACCACATGAAAAACTGCAAACTGGTGCAGGTTGATTCCGATGTGGGCGCATTGGGCAGAACTTGACCACTCCAATCTCCCAGAATCTTCCAATTCCCAATCCCTTCTAGGTTGGAGGCCATCGCTAGTAGGTTGGAGGCCATTGCTTCT